CTCCACCCAAAAGAGGAAAATAGAAGTGAAAGTAACTTTCCGAGTGTTGTCAGACATGTCTCCCTCCTCCTGCAGCCAGACGTGGTTCTCAGCCATCAGGACATGTGGCAGCAGGAATGGAGGACAAGGAGGGACACTCAGGACTTGGAGGGCCAGGGGTGGGGGATACCCAGCAATGAGGAGGATCAGCCCCCAGGAGTCCCCTTGTTTGTGCAAAGACACCAAAAAACAAGGAAGTAGCCCGAGCTACAGGAGGAGCTGAAAACCTGGAAAGCAGGAGAAGCAGTGACTAAGGAGGGGACCTGAGGATTCACAGGCAGGAGGAAGCTGCAGCAGCAACGGCAGCCACTGGACCAGAGGATGAAGCCCAGAGGCACCTCTGTGGATGCAGGAATGAAGAGGGAGGGGCACCTGGGCTCCAAGAGGGAACACTCAGGCCCTGCACCAATGTCCCCTTCTAGGAGGTGGCCCATCAACCAGCAGGGCTCCTGGTCCCCCTGCCCTCCCTTCTTTCTGGGGACACTCTCAGGCTGGGAGTTCTGTGAAAGGTGAGTCTGCTCCTTGGTGGGTCTCCCTGGGCCTCATCTTGCTAGAGAGGCCTGGGCTCTGTGCTCTTCCAAGTTCAAGTGCACAGGGAGAGCAGACTGTGTGTGTGTGTGTGTGTGTGTGTGTGTGTGTGTGTGTGTGTGCGCTAGTTGGAGGAGCATGGGGTCTTGTGGCTAAGTCCAGTTCTGGAGGGCAGGTTTAGGAATTTTTTTGGGGGGGGGCACACATCTGAATTATGTTTTCTGATTTGGCTTTTAACAAGACGAAAGCTGGTATTTTGATTCCCATTTGTCTCAACTTTTTGTCTGTTAGTTGGTTTGGAACTCAGGCTGTGGAAAGACATGTGTTTTGGGGCCCACCAACACCTTACAGGGGTTAAGCACTTGGATTGGTATGTCTTGCTTCTTGAGTTCTTATCCTTTTGTGCCCCAGAGGAGTAGAGGATGGCGGTCATACCCCCTGCAATTACACAGTTGTGTAGTCTTCATAGCACTTGGTGACAATATTTCACCTTTTAGGGACTGGGGTGAGGTGGGGCCCCCTTCTCCTACTTAGTAGAACCTCAGTGATTGGGCTCAGCAGTGATACATCTGTGGACTCCTGAGTCTTCCTACAAAGTTGGTAAGAATCCAGGGGGAATTACTGGGGATGAAAAGTGATGATTTCTATAGAGAAGGCATTGACTGAATCCTTGGAAAAGGGGTGGGAAGAGGGGAAAGAATAGGTTAAGACGTGAGGGTTATAGGGGGTGAGAAAGGGAAGGGGACCATTGGGGAACACAGAAAGTCTACCTGGGCCGCATTCAAGGGTCTTAGCGGCCATCCACGAGAAACACCCCGAGGAAGCCTACGGTCCTTGCCCAGCCCGAGGAAAGAGCTGGCCCAGGGCAACAGGGCCGGTCCCAGCCCATAGTTGCCACCATCACTCACAGCCCTTCACTGGGAGTCCTGGGCTTCGCTTCAGGGGAGGTTAGTGACTGGCATCTGCAGGCACAGCAGCACGAGGACTGATCTGCCTGGTACCCCGGTTACTGCTGGGCAGCACCCCACTCCCTGTGCCCTCTGAAACCACCTCATGCCTCTCTCCCACGACCACCCAGCCCCAGACACACCGTGTGGACACAAACCAAGGGACTGCCATCACGCTTCTCGTGTTAGCACCCAAGTGTCCCCATTACCATGGTCTGGGTAGTCCTTTCCTCCCCAGCATGGCCCCAGACACGTCCATACTTCCCTCTAAGTGGTCCAGGGTGGTATTACTGTCTCCTTAGAACTGGGTTTTGCTGCCTGTTCAGAGAAACCGAAACTAGCAGTCCCTTTGCTCTGAAGACTGAGTCCATCTAAACCCCTGCAAATTAGCAATAGAAGCACTATTATTTCCATCTAAATAAAGGTGAAATGATATAAGGATTGGGTTCTGAGATCGTTTTGATATTTGGCAGTTCACGATCACAAAAACGAGCTTATGACCTGGACAGAGAAGTCTCCGCTCAAAATTGAGAAAGGTCCTGAAATTGTGGCCCCTATGATCCCCTGGCAGCTCCTGTTTCCCTGAGAGCTTCATTCTGTCCCGGGAGCCCCAAGGTGACCCTGCCTTCCCCACCTTCCTGGGGACAGGACAGCTCAAACCTGCTCCTCCAAGGCCTGAGGCCAGACTTCCTAGGGTGCACACACGGGAATCATTCTGAGGTCCCCCCCAGGCATGTTGATTTTACTCCAAGGTGAGCCATTTAAAGCAATTAAAATCGCTAAACAAGTTTCACAAATGAATGGCATAACATAAATGCTTAAGAGAAAATGTGAGGCCACAAAGAAGGTGTGGGCTGCATGCAGACTCCAGGCAACACCTGAACCCCCACCTCCCTGGGGGATCGTGTTCACCGTCCTCCACCATTAGGGTTCTCTGCCTCCCGGAGGATGGGAATCTGAGTGTCTTGGGTTCACCCAGCTATTACTGACTTAGATGTCCAACTGCTTGACTGGAAAAATGAAGGTTAACCTTTTTCAGGGTTCACTATGCTTTTAAAACATTTTAAATTGTTGTTCAGTTACAGTTGTCCCCATTTCCCCCGGCTCTGTTACTCTCCCTGCCCTACCCATCCCCCATGTTTAGTATTCTGGAAATTCTGGTGGAATCTCCTAAGTGTCTCATAAGGGAGTCCCCACTGGCACCTGCTGCCATCACTGGTGGGCCTGGGACCAGGCAGTTCCAGGTCAGACTTGCCCCAGAAGAAAAAAGCAGGTCTGCAGGTGTCAGCCCTGGGTTCAGGAAGGGGGAGGAATGTTTCGTGGGCTGGGCACCGCAGGCAGCAGGGATGTACCCGGGAAGGAGGCGGTTGAATTAATAGGGAAGACTTTGCGGAGTCCTCACTGCTAATATTGCTGCAAATCCCCTTCCTCCTTTCATCCATTACTAATTGTGATGACCTGGAATGGTTCCCTGGGCTGTCCTGGACCTTAGGATGACCACGTGATGCATGGGTAGCAAGAAAAGATGTACGCTCAGTGGCTTATTCTGATCATCTCCACTCAGCCCACAGAAGGACCCCACTGGGCGGTGGCCTTCGCTTACTTTAGCTTATAAGAGGGTGCCACGTTGGGGACCTCCGGGTTGCTGAAGATAACAGAAACAGTGCAGATGACAAGCGCGGCTTCATGAAGACTCAGGGGTTGTGAGACAGGAGGTGGGATGTGATAAGGAGGAGCCACCATGAGAAAAGGACAAGTTGAATATTCCCTGCATAGAAGGACTCAGAGGGATACGTGCACAGAGGGATTCAGATAGGACTCTGCACCCCTAGTGCATTTCTAGTGTCAACAGTAATATAAAGAGTCACTTTAGAATGGAGCTGGAGCTTCCAGGCCAGAGGTGCTGCCTTGCAAGCCCAATACCTCAAACATTTGGATGTTAAGAAGCAGGGCAAAATGACCTTTGGACTGGGCTAAGCAAGCTTGTGTCCCAATTAACTGTTTGGAAAGATAACAATAAAGCATTATTATGACTACTGGACTGAAGATTAAAAACATCGTTTAGCCCCGGCTGGTGCAGCTCAGTGGATTGAATGCCAGCCTGCAAACCAAAGGGTTGCTGGTTTGATTCGCAGTCAGGGCACGTGCCTGGATTGTGGGTCAGGTCCCCAGTGGGGGGTGCATGCGAGGCAACCACATATTGCTGTTTCTTTCCCTCTCTTTCTCCCTCCTTTCGCCTCTAAAAATAAATAAATAAAACCTGTAACAAAACATTGTTTAGAATTAACATCACTATGTTATCTGCCCTGCTAGAAATGCCTGTCTTTTATTGATGCAATGGTTCCTCTTCTCTTTCTCACAAATACCTATTGTCTCTCCTAATCAGAACATTATTTGGGGTTCTGCCTGAATTAATGATTCCAGAATAGCTATTCTTAGTGATTTCAATAAATGTTTGGTGGCTGTCATTTGAAAAGGCCTTTTTATTTGAGGTTAACGCTGGCAAGGCCAAGGCACCCCTGCTGACCATTGTCTGGAGTGATGGACAGCGGAGGGCTGGAGCCTTCTTTACCCACAAGAGCTCTTGCTGGACACCGTGATGGTTGGGAGACAGCTGAGATGAAACATCCTGGGCACTCCGAGAGCATCTGTGCCCAGGACAAAGTCCTGCACAACGGATGAGGTGGCCCTTCCTAGACCATCGGCTATGACAGCTCTGGCCAAGGGGAAACCCCGATATGAGCTCATCCTCAGAGCTAAGTCCTGCCCCTTCCCCCTGCCTGGTGCCCATGTTTCTCATGTTCCACATGCTGTGCCCAGGAGTCCCACAGGCATCTCGGAGGGTGCCAGCACACCAGCCCAGGATAGCTATGTGGGACTGGCCAGGTCATGAAGTGGCCCTAGGTGCCCATAAATGTGACCCTGGAGCTCCTCCAGGTTCTGCTGGACAACTTATGTCTCACCTTGGAATGAGGCTTGTCAGGCGCAGGTGGCCTCTGGGGTCACCATGTACAGTAGCTTAACAGACAGGACCACACCAGCCTGGTTGGGCTGGTTTCTCAGACAATTACACTGAAGTCGAAAACTCTCCCACTTATTTTATTTGGGGGCATAAAGGGAAGAGAAGAAAAGCTCCCTGGGGGTCAGATGCCATTTCCTCAGATACTAACCATCTGAGAACGGCCAGTGGGTTGTCTAGTGGATGACACCCTCCCTTCCACAGAGAAGGAAGACCTCTCTGCCCTCTGCATGCACGCCATCTGTATACATGCCATCTGTAGCCTACGAAACTCACCCCCCTGAGACGTTCTGCTGACTATGGAGCCATGGCAAGTGAGGGGCTCACACACCCAAGGGCCTGGATTCCAGGCGGAGCTGTAATCACCATAATGATTCCCTTGAGCTGTGCCTGCACAGACCAAATACTGGACAGTGTCCTCGGCCACTGGGGTGCTTGGGCAGGTTGGGCTCAGAGCCACCACTTACCATCAGACAATGGTACAATGTAGTGTTACCGAGCAGACTGGGGCTTGTCCATATGGTGCCCTGGTGAATGACCCAACAAATAAAGCTGGCAGAAACAGGTCTTGATTTACAAGAGTCCAACTTGACAGAGCCTAGAGCACATCAGTTTGGAGCCCTCCTTCTCCATGAGACCCAGCACTTCTCATGCTCCCTGCCAGGGTACAGGGCAGGGCATCCTCAGGTTCTTATCTTAAGTTGCTGTGCAAACGGTTCTCCAGTCCCTCTGGAAGGTACCAGAGTTGCCATCCTCACACAGCAGCTGTCTCCTTCAGGATGTGCGGTACATTGTCGCCAGCCTCCATGTAGTTGTGCAGAAAAGGCACAAGTCCTGAGAGTCCAGGTAAAGCCCAGGTAGGTGTAGCAGATCAGGATCTTGCAAGGAAGTCCTTTGCAGCTCTGCAGTCAGCTGGAGCTGATGTGTCAGCAGCATCTCCTTTCTCATTAGACCAGACCACATGGCCTCTTTCCTCAGTATAAACTACACAGCTGCTTGCTTACTTAGCCCTTCTCACTGCCCTTTCAAACTGCATGGCAAAAGTCCCTTACTACAGACAGCACGCCTTCTCCCTCACTACTACCTCCCCCAAGGCCAAGAGAGAAAATCGCTGCTGCGCTAGAGTGTAAATCCTCATCCTGCTGCTCCTCTATAACCCCATTTCCGACTCCTCCCACAGTGGGTTACAGCGGCCCATTCCCTGTATCTTCTGCCTTTCTCTGGCTGCCATCGTTACTACAGGCAGAAGTGGCCCTGTGATGCACAGTGAACCGCCCCCTGCTTCTCAGACAGCGGCTGAAACCCAGCAACTGTCTCCCAGTTTAACGGCCTAACGCATGTGCAGTAGCTCCCAGGCTAAATCACAAGCCAGGCTACCTTCAGAAGGTCACGCCCACTTCCCTTGCTTCAAGCCTGCTGCCACAGCTTTTTAACAGAGCTATGAAGCTAGCCGAGTTACCATAGTTATGCAAAATCTGCCAGTTGCTGTGCCGCTTCTCCCATCCCCCAAAGCAGGTTAGTGGGCGTTTTCTCTGTTTTGGGGGGAACCTCTAGCTCAACACCCCATTTTAATAGGAGCCCAGGGAGTCATATTTCCTGAATAAGCAAAAGAAATCAGGATGAGCCAGCTCCTGTACACACTCTCGGCTGCACGCAGTGACACAGACTTGGCCAAAACTTCTGAGAGGAGACGTGTCCATAGGCCTGCAGAGTGCATCTTCCGTGGTCCTGGTCGCCATTCTCAGAGACCCCCGAGGAGTGGTCACAGACAGCAGACAAGCCAGGAGCTGGGGCTGTGTCTTTACACAGCAGAGACCTGTGCTCCTGACACTGAGGTTCTGAACCTTCCTCCCCATCCAGACACAGGCAACTGTGGCTGTTACAGAAAACAACTCAGCCGCTTTCGGGTGTACGGAGTGGAAGTTTATTTTATGCACAGAGCCAGAGGAGTCAGTTTCCAAACTCTGGGCCTTGAACAAAGGGAAAGCAGTTATTTTATAGAGCAGGGGGCGGGAGGCGGGGCCAGGCCCGTCCTTCGGACCAAAAGCAGGAGGCAATTTACAGAAGCAGAAAGCAGAGCGTTTCATTATCTCTGGTATGTAGCCGATAAGCTAGAAGAAACAAGGCGAATCACTGGGCTGTAAAACAACCCCCTAATTGCTGTGCTGTATTTCTAAAATAGCGAGTCACTCCCTATACACTGTGCTATATTTTAAAATAGCTATCAATTTCCCCCAACAGCTGAACCCTCGGCGGGTGGTGGTTATGAGATGTGGTACTACCTACCTCGCCCCATGCCCCCAGCGGCTCTGGCAGAATAAATACAATGAAAGGTGTCAGACAAAGGACTCAGCGTAGCTGTCAGCCCTGTGCCTGAGCACTGCACACCCTGGTTCCCAGCTACGCTAGGGGTGGGGTTACCACATTATAAACACGGAATGTACCGCTTTGTATGAACCAGCGTGGGCTCTCTGCCTCTCACACCATAGACTCAGGGGAACACTTGAATGAACATTTCAGGCAAGAAATTCTAGTTTCAGTGGAATTTAGGAACAAGTGGTTTCATGTCAGATGAAAAATTCCAGACCAGCTGATCTGAGCAGAAGTGCCAGCTGGCAGTCTGACAAGTTTCTGATTAACTACATTGTTCTGCACAGCCCCTATTTGATTGTTTTGTTTTGGGGAAGCAGCAGAAAAGTATCCTCAGGCTGAGTCTGTCTTTGCCAGTAATTTATTTAACACAGGTTTCCTGTGGGAATTTCACAAGTCAATAGCATACAGGATACTATGTTTTAATAAGCAAAATAAAGAAACAACATACTTCAAACAAATGACAACTCTGCTATTCAAGGCATGGAAAGATGAAGGAATAAAGTTCCAATTTAATATGAAGCGTGCCTTTTTCCATCAGGAGGCACTCGGGTGAGCTGGCCTCCAACCAAATAGCTCCTGTCTAGCTGCCAGCACAAAAGAAAAAGCTCCCTGTTGCTGGAACACGTTGCTGGGAAACAAAGACTCCAGTGTTGGTAGGTAGGCTGATGTCTGTCCTGGGGTCTCTGCACTGTTTATCATGACTCTCTGCCAAGAGTGCACAGAGAATACCCCAAGGGTTTTTGGGGAGTTTTCAGGATTGTGAAGCATTGCCTCATTGAAACTGAAAATCTCAGAGTCCTCACAAGCTCTCATTATGAATAGTCTCGATGTTCCCTTGCCAGAGTTGCCTTTCCACATGTTCTTGCTGATATGTCCGCAGAAGGGACCCTCAGCTACTGGGCTGCTGACTGCTTATCAGTGACAATCGATGTAGAATGACAGCATCCTGGTATGACTTCATTTTTACATCAAAGTAACTTTTTTGTCTTTGTCATAAATGGGCGGATCAAAACAACTTCACTTCAGTAATAAACAAATGAATTTGAACCATATCAAACCAATACACAGCAACTGCTCTGTCCAGGCTGCGACTCGATTTACTAACTATGCGGCTAATTGAGGGATCTCACAGGAATCTGAACAGGATCAGCTCACTGTTTACATGGCTCATTTCAAATTTCACACGGTCTCCTGTGCCGCTCAGACCCCAGTTCAGGCTCATTTCAGTCAGTCTCAGGCATGTGCCGGAAACTTGGAAAGGGTTCATGCACAGAATCTGGGGTTCTTCTCTGTGGATTTCTCTTTTTGGGATTTTCCCTGCTCCCCAGAAAGCCTGGTGGCTCTGGGTTTCTTCCCTGGCTCTGCTAATAATCAGAGCAAAGGTGGGCTTCCTACCAAACTTTAGGCACCCCATGCCAGCCTCTCAGAGCAAGGCAATAATAAACAGAAAACATTTCACTCTGGCTGCTTCCTTCAGAGTCCCCAGCTTTTGTTCACTTTACAGAAGTCTCAGGCTGTTGTTCTTTGATATTGTTCAGAGTTTCTAGCTGTAATGTGCAAGAGACTGGTTGGGTAAGGGTCACTGATATGGGTTAGAAGCAGAACTCTCCATCCCCCTGGTAGCAGCAGACCACCCTGCCCACTCCCAGGCCCAGCCCTGTTCTGGCTTCTGGACATGCCAGTGGGTCCAGTTTCCCTGAGCCCCTGCCCACCAAGGAGGAGAGAGGATGCTGGGCAGAGCATCAGAGGCACACATTTGTTAGGAGACACACAGCCAGGCTAGATACACTTTGTACTTCTGTGCTCACAGGAGCACAAACTCATGCCTACTTAGAGTGGGCTTGTTTATAATTTACATAAAAGAGCAAATGATATGCCTGGAGAAAATACCATGGCTTATTCTAGAATCTCAGTTGGAGTGAATACTTTACAAAGCACCCATAATGATGAGACATATACGTTGTTGTCGAGAAGCCTAAGAGTATGTGTTCTTTGCTAAAGGAAGAGGTTGAATGATGATGATTAAATTTGTTTCTTGTTTTAATGATTTATGCACAGTCCCTGCACTCTGACGTGGGCCCTTGTGAAGCTTCATGGGGACATTGCCCCATCCAGTTTGCGCAATCGGAGAACACCAGCACTGGTTTTTGTTGATTTGCTTGTGATGGCCATTCTGACAGTTGTGAAGTGGTATCTCATTGTGGTTCTAATCTGCATCTTTCTGATGGCTAGTGATGCTGAGCATCCTTTCACATGTCTCTGGGCTCTCTGTATGTCCTCCTTGGAGAAGTGTCTGTTCAGGTCCTTTGTACATTTTTAATTGGACTATTTGTCTTCCTTGCATGTAGTCATTTGAATTTTTGTATATTTTGTAGATCAAACCCTTGTCTGAGGAATCATTGGCAAATACGTTTTCCCATATGGTTGGTTCCCTTTTCATTTGCTGATGTTTTCTTTAGCCGTGCAGAAGATTTTATTTTGATGAGGCCCCATATGTATATTCTTTCCTTTATGTCCCTTGCTCTAGGGGACATATTGGTGAAAATATTGCTGTGTGGAATATCTGAGATTTTCCTGCCTATGTTCTCTTCTGGATGTCCATACTACCCAAAGCAATTTATAGATTCAATGCAATCCCTATTAAAATGCCAGTGACGTATTTCACAGATACAAAACAAACATTTCAAAAATTTATATGGAACCATAAATGACATCAAATAGTCTCAGCAATTTTGAGAAAGAAGAAGGACCACAATACCTGATATCAAACTATATTACAAAGCCACCGTAATCAAAATAGTCTGATATTAGCATAAGAACAGACACAGACATCAGTGGAACAGAATAGAGAAACCAGAAATAAACCCATGTGTATTTGATCAATTAATATTTGACAAAGGGGTCAGGAGCATAAAATGGTGTAAAAATATCCTCTTCAACAAATGGTGTTGGGAGATATGAAAAGTTACATGCAAAAAAAATGAAACTCAACCACCCACTTGGGCTATACACAAAAACAAGTTCAAGATGGATAAAAGGCTTAAATACAAGTCATGTCACCATGAAAGTCCTGGTTGTCATTCTAAGCTTGCTGCTCGTGGCAGAGATTACTCATCTTGCTCTTACAATTTGGTGCTCTCACATGGCTTCATTTACTCTGGAAATCCCATCTGGAATTTCCTTTGCTACGAGGGAATCCTGTATATCACCCCTACATTATCCCAGCCTACAGAGGACAGTCCCGCCTGAGCATCTCAAGGATGCAGGTGCCCTCTCAACAGTGCATTCCTTATTCCTTTTAAGGTGGTGTCTCTGAGGCCTCCAGAGGATGCAGCCGCCTGCTGGATGGGTTTCCCAGGTGTGGTGAGTAGAGCTGTGCCATTTTCCTAATGCTTTTGTATTTCCCCGTTTTGTCGAACTTGGCAAGTCTTGTATTTCTTCTTTCACTTTATCTTGTATGCTCTGTGCTTTATAGCAAACCTCTAAGAACCACGCAGAATTGCTGAGTTTGGAACTTGCCAGGCTAACTAAACCCTGTGGCCCAGGAGAGTGTGCCTGTATCAACAGCCTCCACTACCCACCAGTGCTACATTCTAACCCTGTTTTTCCAGGATCCACTCCCACACAAATCTCCTAGCTCCTGCTGGTACATGTGGCCAGTCCTGCAGCTCTGTTGGAGTAAACTATCTCATCAGCTAGCAGTATTATCTCTTATATTCCTAGTTTTGTGATGCTGAGATGACTCTGCACAGTCTTAATTCAGGCAAGATGGCAGGTAGGGCAGGGGTCTGCCTACCGACAGGGACAGAGGACGATTTGCAGGTCTGTGGGTTCAGAAAGATCTAGAGTTCAAAGTTCTCAGTGCATCTGCCTAGAAAACCCCATTTTGAGTTTCAGGGTGTCTGTCTTTTCCTTCCTTCCTTCCTTCCTTCCTTCCTTCCTTCCTTCCTTCCTTCCTTCCTTCCTTCCTTCCTTCCTCCCTCCCTCCCTCCCTCCCTCCCTCCCTCCCTCCCTCCCTTCCTCTTTTCCTCACAAAAAACCCTTATAATGTTTTAAGTAAGTTTATGATTTTGTGTTGGGCCTCATTCACAGCCATCCTGGGCTGCATACTGCCCATGGGCTGCAGGTTGGACACCCCCTGACAGAAGGTTAGTTCTTTATCAGGGCCTTGTCTTTGACTCAAGAGGCCACCCTGAGCTTAGATCCAGCCTTGTCTGAATTTCTGCCATTCATTAAATTAGGCCTGTGTCAGGCTTTCCTCACTGTTGCCTTCCAGGTGTAGGTGGTAATTAATACACTTAATGCCTGTCATGTAATCAATTTTTTAATGCATTAGCCGTGCTTAGAAATAGCCACCAAATTACAGAGTTCTTACAGATACTATGCCTTCATTTGTTAATGCCAAACAATTGCATCAGTATACGTCTTCCCCTATACCTCATTCCACTTCTTGCAAGTGAGTATTTTTGCAGCCACACTGCTAGAGCACCCCAGGTACTATCAATATTCTGCCTTTAATCATATGGCTAGACAGTGATCCAGCTCAGAACTCCATGCCTAGGGCTGGCTTGCTAAGACCATTATGTTAAGGTGGCTTCCCTAAAAGCAAAGCCTGGGATAAAGTTTCTTAAATAAGTGATTTATTGTGAGAATTCTCTCAGAAGGAGGGGGGTAAGGGAAGCAGGATACCATGGAGGGGAAAGCTAAGCAAGGATGTGCTCACAGCTGGACAATAGCCTGAGTCCCTGGGGGCTCGGGGAACACAATCACAACCTTGGGGATGGGGACCAACCCCCAGGTCAAAGAGATGTAACATTCAGGTGATTATGGCTCCATTTGCCCAAAGCAATACCCTGGGGAGAGGTGGCATTGGCAGCCAACCCTCACAACAGCAGGGGGATAAGAAATCTGCCTGAAAGTGGGACTTTTCAGGGTCCCAACAGCATCCACGACACCAGTGAACTGTTCTAGTTAGTTTCCTGAATAGCGAAGACCTCTTTGAAATTCTTCTTAAATTCTTCCTCTGTTAGGTCTGAGTTGTTGCACTGGGGAAAAAGACCAGAGGAAATAACGACATTCATTATCACGTTCATCAGACACCTTGCAATTGAAATGATCAGGACTCTTGTCTGAAACATCCAAGTTACATTAACCAGGTTAAGTTTAAAAACACACGCAGCTAAGAGCAACTTTTGTTTCCTAAGAGCTTGATTACTTTTTGATGACTAGACAGAAATAGGAAATCACTATCATACTTGAGGACTCTTACTCCTTAGGTTTAGGTTGTTTCTTTTAGTGAGAATTAGAAAAGTAATCTAACATCTTAATAGAAGTCAAATATCACAGATGCCTAAGTACAACTGGTGACCTTCCTTTCATGTTGTCATTTCTGTTCCCCTCTGGTGACCCCTGTTAACTATGTGGTCCATTCACATGCAAAAGACTCTACAGTTTGGGATTTCTGACAGGTATAATTGAGTATATTTGGGGAAAGATAAGAACAACAACATGACTTTAGGATGTATTCTTTTCCATAGGTTTGGAGCAGGGAGGACGTCACTGTTCTCAATGGGCACCTGTCACCATTGATTAGAAAAATGAGCTCTCAGGTACCTAAACTGGGGTGTAGGTGTTGAAACCAGAAAAATAGAGGTGAAAATAGGGACTGCCTTAAAGAGATTTGGCCTGGAGACAGAAACCACAAGGAAAGAACGTAGGGAGTGGAGAAGGCGGAACGACAAAACCAATGGGGCTGAACAAGTAGAGGACCACTTGTTCAAGTGTCTAGATTAAAAAATTTCCATTACTCAAAACCCAGAAAGCTTAGGTCATGCTCGCGCCACTGAGTAGCCAGTAGCTAACAGCCACATTTGCTTCTATACAATGCTTGCTTGCTCGCGTCTATAAAAAGACTTAGTGGTAAGCGCTTAGGGCGGTTCTCGTTTGCAGCTCTTATGAGCACCTGTCTCCGGACACTCTGAGGGTCCACCCCTGCGCAGGTTAAAACTTTGGCCAATAAAATAACATCTCTGAATCCTGAAAGTTTCTGACAATTTGTCTCTCACGTTGGTGGATGCAACATAGGGACACCTCCTGACTCACTGTTACTATGGTGAGCTTAAATCCTGAGTTTAAAAAGTTACTCACTTCCCAAACCATTGCTTGTACATGCTCATCATGAAAGATGCTGAACAAATTTTTCAGCACCAGGAAATGAGAGCAGAGTGACTCACGGAAGGAAAATGAAATGGAAGCAGGGAGAACTACTTACCTTGGGGTCCTGAAAGAGGGGGTGAATGGCCTGCACGAAACTTTTCACTTTGGTGTAGTCTCCCTCATTTAGACTCTTCCTGATTTTGTCCAACATCCTAAGTCTCTCTAGGCATTGAGAAGCGTTTTCAACCTGGTGAGAAATATATCAATAGGAGATTTACTGACACAGTTCACTGGCTGCCTTCTGTGGATCCCCGTCAAACCCAACAGAAATCCAACGTGAAGATAAAGGCGGCTCATGTTCCCCTCCCAAGGGCTTCAGATCGTAAATCCCACTAGAGCCCATGTCAAGGTCAGGTAATGTCATGAAGGGCTGTAATCATGGTTTGCTGTTGTTACTCACATAATTTTCATGTGGAATTTTCAGGAAAATGTCATTCTCTAAAGGGCTGTAGACCTTTAAGAAGAGGAATGCACATTTCTGCAAAAGAAGGAGGTTGTGAATGACAAACAGCTTGGGAAGAATGAGCACATAGTCATGCCCAGACTCACACATGCCCACATCAGTCTTCTGGAAGTTTCCCCAAACTGGTATTGCTCTTGGACACTAACAGGTAATGGCTGAGTTTTGTATCCCCCCCCCCCCCCCGGCAAACATGTCCTGGGGAGGTTTCAGTGTGGTCGAGGGGTGGGCAGAGAAGCAGGCACCATTTTTCACCCTCCCCCTCTTCCTGTGACTGACTGACTTCCCACATGCCAACAGAAAGGAGGCTTGGGGTTTGAATCCAACTCACCAGCTTCTCCTCAGGCTCCATCTGTCTCTCCAGGACCTCAGATTCCCTGTAACGCTGCTGACTTCTTGGTAGACTGTCTATTGTGCAGAAGGTACAGCGCCAACCATTCCTGAGATGCCAGATATAAGTGAGAAAGGGCAAAGCCCAGAAACAGACACCATCCCTATGGCTGCCACTGTTTCCCTTTCAGGAATGGCAGGTAGGCACAGCCTGGGAGTGAAGGGGACACCTTCCAGGGTCTCCAAGATTCTCATGTGATGACCCTCCTACCATAGAGGGTAGTCATAGGGAGTGATTGGCTGGAGGGTTGTGTCAGGGTGGGTGGTGGGCTCTCTTCTCTCTGACTGAGCTGCTGGGAGCCCTGTACACCTGGCCTGAGTACTGGAGACTGGACCTCAACCCATGGGAATTTCCAGCCTTTATTAGCTTGTTGAGAACATCGCAAAATGAGAAAAACTGTCCATGTTTCCTGCCTTTTTGAATAAAAACAGAACACAAACAGCTGGCATTTCCAGGAGACTGTGCTGGGAAAGTTCTGGAAAGGACAGTAGCAGTATGAAGGTAAGGGATGCATCCAACAGCTTCGACCTCCCAGAGGAGAGAGGAGGCTGCCAGTGCCTTTCAGCAGCTCCCAGGATGATACTGCCGGACTTGCACATTCGGCCCCAGGGAGGAGGCCCCCAGGGGGAGTATGCATGGCAGGAGGAAGGGTCCTTAAAGGAGACAGGGGGCCGCATCTCACATACCTCTTAGTGTCCACAGGTGGGAGGTGACAGTTCTCATGAAAGAAGCTCTGACATTTTTCACAGCGGAAGAGCTTTGCTCCATCGAGGCAGATCTTGCATTTGTCTGAGTTTCCCCCCTAGAAGGCAAAACAATGTCCACATCCCCATGGGCCCCGGATGACCAGTGCTGTGGGAATCTAGGACTCATGGCCTTTGTGCAAACTGCAAGGACTCTTCTGTGTTTCTCTGAGTTGTGAAGGGACAGCATGGAGTGGGGGTTTCAGAAGGATTCTTGTTCTGCAGTGAAGTTCAGGAGGAAGGGCCTGTGGGACCAGATCAAAGTGGTTTTTTTCTATGAAACCAGAGATTCTAACACAGAAAGGCAGGCAACAAAACAAGAAGATGATTTCGTAGGAATCATTTTTATGAACTTGCAGATAGAACGAGGTTTTAAAAAAAGTGTTAAATTCATTTGCCTATACCTCAATGCCTAAAATGAATCATGGAAAGGTGGTATGTTGGGAAATTAATAAGATGGAATAAACCTCTAAGAAAACACTGATACTGTTTTCTTGGCTGAATGTTCCCCATGAGTTGAGGGGCCTGGTAGGGGCCCTGGACTGTTAATTCTGTGTCTAGAGGGCTTCTGACCCTGTGATAGTGTCTTACGGTTGGAAAGACCATGGGCCCAGATGGCCAAGTGGTGCCATGGCACGTGGAGCTCTTTGAATCTGGAATCCCGAGGAAGATGCCCTGTGATTCGGTTGCACATGTAAGGTGTGGAAGCCACTTTCTGAGTGGCCAGGGAGTGTGGCAATTGCTGTGTTGTATAAACCATGTGGAGGTCCCCCTACCAAGCCCCCCCACCGCCACCACCAATGTACTCAACTGAAACTGGATTGTTACCAGTCTCAATATGTGGCCTTTAACTACTGACAGACCTAGGCAGGCCGAGAAGGAATGGAAAATCACCAGGTGGGAAACTGCACCATGGGAAACTATGGCCTGTGAAACTGCCTGCCGACCCTACCCAGAACAAACATGCCTGGGCTAAGATTAGGGTCTGGGTGGGCCTGGCTGGTATAACAGGATGCAGCTTTAACTTGGGCTTGACAAGATGTATCAAGAACAATGGTCAGCAGAAAGGGCACCCAGCCACCAGCTCTAGCCAAGCAGACTCTGACACCCCAACCAGTTATCCTTCATGGGTTTTTGAGCATAAAAGCACTGCCCTAAGAACAACCAAGCAAGTCTTAACCTCCCATGGTTGGCTCCACTTTCCCCTGAAAGTCCCAACCTTTCTTGGTTGGCTTTGATTCCCCCTCTTATACCCCTCTAATAAACCCTGCTTCTTGGTTCTCTGCATCTGTCTGGTTTCTTGAACTAACAACTACATTTAATTTTATTTGGAGAAGATAAAATTTGACAGTATTTGCATCCAAGTCTTGTATCACAACTCTTACCCATTAAACCCAATAAATTTGTCGAGCAGATGTGAAGATACACTGTGTTCCATATAAACATGTGTATTTATAACAAAAAACTGGCCTGTGACTGAGCCCTTTGTTAATGAAGAAAACACAGTGTAAGGACTAATATTAAAGCCCAGTGTCAGGTGCTGCTGTGACATCTGGTAATATTGAGATGGCCTTGGACAGCCTATCTGCACGTGCCTCTCCCCACCCTGCTTCCCTGGATAAGGGAAGCTAAATAACAGTCCTTGGCAAGGGAACACCACTGACCTTGACCATCCTGGAATATCAGGCTTCAGTTCCCTGTCAGCCATGGAATTTTTCACACAAGCCAGACACAACCTCCCACAGAAATCAGGGACCCTCTCGCCCTCCCAGCCCCTGGTTGTCCACTTGGTTCCTGAGGGCAACCTTGGTAAGGCCTGCATGGGGGGGGGGGCTCTACCCTCTTTCCTCGGTCTGAGTTGTATGCGATTAATAAACACCTGTCAACCCATCCTCCAGTGACAGATGCCATGACGTGCCATCCCCCAAACTGCCTGGTGAATATCCCCCCTCATCAATGGGATGAAGAAAAGTGGTTAAAAATGAAAACCACTTTATAAGAAAATGAAAATCAGCACTTACATATGAATGAGGAAAGTTTAGAAACTATATCTCCCCCTGGTTGCTTTCCTGGTTCTGTCCCCTTAGCAAATCCAGACAGTTTGAGAACCACTTGAAGGTTTTTCTTTCCCAGATGGAAACATCCTGTCTATCCCATGGTCTATTAGAGAAATTCCTCCTGTCCTGTGACCATCTGTGGTGACACAAATGAACTGCAATTGGGGACTGGCCCCCCATTGATGAGTACTGGCTGGTAGGGAAGTGGGCCATTGAGGAGCATGGGAGGCAGGGATGACAGCATCCACCGTTCTCTACTGTGACTCCTGCTTTCTCCAAACACATGCACTCTGTGCCATCTTGCTCCTGGGGTTACTCCCTCACACTCATTGCTGTAACATTTTCCCTTCCCACCCTTGTCTTCTTCCAACATTTAGACAGACTCCCTCAGGTTTCCATTGTTGGCCATTCAATTGGCCCCAGATGGTCAAATCACTCTCAAAGCTGCAGTTCCATTGCTATGTCTCCAGCTCCCAGATATGCAGCCTGTCTTCTGTCTTCATGCACATCCCTGTGCTCACCCAGCGTCTTCTCCTGGTCCCTTGGATCACACCCCAAACTCATGCAGTCAAAACTGAATGTATGCTGTGGTCCCCACACCCAGTACATGTTCTTTCTTAAAGCTTCCACTTCATTAAACATACACCTTCCATGGCAAATCTGAGAATCCATCATGAGTCTATACTCTTGTTCATATCCCAAATCCAATCTATCCCGTCTTCTTATCATAAAAATTAAGCTTCCTTTGTTAGTTCCATTTTTCTTTTTTTCATTTTTAAATAAATGTTTTATTTTTTATTGATTATGCCATTACATTTGTTCTATTCCCCCCTCCGTTCCCCTCCACCCTGCACACCCCTCCCCCACCATTCCCCCCCTTTAGTTCATGAACACGTGTCTCAAGTTCTTTAGATTCTATATTTCCCCTACTATTCTTACCCCCATCTATTTTCTATCTGCTGTCTACGCTGCTTATTTTCTGTACCTTCTCCCCCCTTCTCCTTCTCCCGCTCCCCTGTTGTTAACCCTCCATGTGATCTTCATTTCTATGGTTCACTCCTGATCTAGCTGTCCTCTTAATTTGCTTTTGTTTTAGGTGTGGTTGTTAATAACTGTGAGTTTGCTGTCCTTTCACAATTCATCTTTTTTATCTTCTTTTTCTTGGATAAGTCCCTTTAACATTTCATATAATAAGGGCTTGGTGAAGATGAACTCCTTGAATTTGATCTTACCTGAGAAGCACTTTATCTGTCCTTCCATTCTAAATGAAAGTTTTGCTGGATAGAGCAATCTTGGTTGTAGGTCTTTGGTTTTCATGACTTGGAATACTTCTTTCCAGCCCCTTCTTGCCTGTAAGGTCTCTTTTGAGAAATCAGCTGACAGTCTGATGGGAACTCCTTTGTAGGTGATTGTCCCCTTATCTCTTGCTGCTTCTAGGATTCTCTCCTTCATTTTAATCTTGGCTAAAGTAATGATGATGTGCCTTGGTGTGTTCCTTTTTGGGTCTAACTTCTTTGGGACTCTCTAAGCTTCCTGGATTTCCTGGAAGTCTATTTCCTTTGCCAGAATGGGGAAGTTCTCTTTTATTTGTTCAAATAAGGTTTCCACTTGTGGCTGTTCCTCTTCCCCTTCTGGTACCCCTATAATTCGGATGCTGGAGCATTTAAAGATGTCCTGGAGGTTCCTAAGCCTCTCCTCATTTTTTGAATTCTTGATTTTTTATATTTTTCTGTTTGGTCATTTTTTCGTTCCTTCTGGTCTATGCCCTTGATTTGAGTCCCAGTTTCCTTTCCATTACTATTGGTTTTCTGTGCATTACCATTCATTTCAATTAGTTTAGTCTTCATATGTTCTTCTAATTTGTGACTAAAATCAACCAGTTCTGTGAGCATCCTGATCACCAGTGTTTTGAACTGTACATCTGGAAGTTTGGCTATTTCTTCATTGCTTAGATTTATTGGCTCTGGGGCTCTGAGTTGTTCTTGAGCCATGTTTTGATCTGTTTGTGCCTGTTACATATGAGGAGCAGAGCCTTGGTTGTTTACCAGGGTGGGACCACCCAGGTTGCTGGTTTGTGGCACTGTATGTGGGGGTGGGGTCAGAGAGGGAGCAATGGCGGTCCTCTCTGCTCACCTGGTCTGCCTCACCATTAGCCTCCACCTGTTTATCTGAGTGCAAATGTGTGAGCCCACCACCCTGCACCGCGTGGTCTCAGTGCTCGCCTCTTCACTGGTTTATCTGCACACAAATTTGCCACCGACTGCAGACAGCCAGCTGCGCCTCTTCCCTATGTCTACCCATAGCTAGCCCGCACCTGGGATCCATGCCCCCGGCTGCCTGTGCACCCTCCCGGTTGGGGATCTTTTTTGCCAACCTGCTCCGCTGCTGGCTTCACCCCTCTCACCAGTTTAGCTGAGTGGTCTGTTGTTTTTGAACTCCGTATTGTCGATTTTCTGTGTGGTTTGGTTGTGTTTATTGTTGTTAAAACTTTATTTTTAGATTTGGTTGTGTGAGGATGCAAAGTGTTTCCATCTATGCCTCCATCTTGGTGGAAGTCCCCATTTTTCCTTTAGGGTCTACTGCATACAGGGATGCTGAGACCCTAATGAATGGTTCCACCTTAATATATAAAGAAAAGGGGTCTGTTTCTCATAGTCTATATTATATTTTGATTAAAAACACACAAAGATCAGACATGTCTTTCTTGATGCCAGTGGGCAGAATAATTTGAAATACAGCTATGTTATTTCTCTTAATGCAGAAAATAATAAAATGTGAAAAATCACTAAGAATTATCTTAAATCTTCTTCAGGGATTTTGGGTAAACATTCTACTTTGGAGGAATCAGGATTCTGGTCTTCTTTGATTTAAAAATTATCCATATATGA